GTGGACCGAGCCACGTATTATTTCCCATCAAGAAGTCCTCCACTTTTTTAAGTTGTGAGAATCATCAACTTAAAAAAGTAAATAAGTCCTTCGAGTGTTATCTTCAATCTTCGTACTTTGGATTCTTGACCGGTTGATATTATTGCTAGTCCTCCGAGTCTTCATTAATTCTCTAATTTCTTGAATCTGAGGTTTTTCCTGCAAAAAATAATATGTTCAACATTTTTTTCTTATCCTTCTATGTTCTTTCATATCTTTCTGAGTGTGGTGCAGAGACGTATGCTGTGAGTTTCTGAAAGAGAGAAGCCCCTCGCCATCATGCGAGACATCTTCCCAGTCCGCCCGGAGGAGGAGGCTGGAGATCAGGAGGATCAAGTTTCTTCCCAGAGTAACACCTTCGGACACTGTGACCCGACAGAAACGACCTCGATTCGAGATGTGTTCCTCCGGATCTATTTCGAGGCTCTGCTTTAACGCCGTCGAGAATTCCGCCGGATCTGTTGCTGAGTAATCGGGGTTGAATGGACAAGCTGGATTGATTTTGAGCCCGTTAACGTCCGATTTTCTTTCCTAATTCAGCGTCTGCGGATGGGGGAAGGATATGGAGGACGCGATTGCGGTTCAATTCCCGGTTCAAGGAACTTACGACCTCTACGCTGCCGGGTAATATTTCTAGGATTTTGTTTTAGATTGCTTTTTTGTTTTACTTCTATCTATATTTCATAGTTGGTTTTAATTCCTAGTACTAGGCGTGGTACTAAAAAGGTTCATCTAATACAACATAAGAAACTTTATAAAAACATGACGCGATTAGTGGAGCGTAGTGCCCCCGAATAATCTAATACAACACAAGTATAGCCACACCCCAAAATCTAGCTATTAATGTGGGAGAACCCTTGGCTATATAAACCCATCACCATGACTCTCATTTAACCGGCGTGGGACAATGAAATCAGTTCGTATCATTCGACCCCCATAAGGCCCAACGTCCTTGTTGGTCTTAGCTACGTATGTCACGGCTAGTTTCCCTAGGTCACCACTCTGAGTTGGAATTGAATAACGAACCCTCTATATTAAATAATTAGTAATTGTATAAACATACTTCTATGCTCTGAATTAACTCTCATTTTTTCTTTCAATTTGCCACAAAAAAATGTCACACTTCTTTATTTTCATAATATTATAAAGAGTGCATGGTCAATAATTTCTCTGTGGCCTTTTTGTGAGTTGTGACTACGATAAAATTATTTGTACCTCAAAAATTTGCACCCCATTTTGTACACCGCATGGATGTACCAATATTTTGTGTTGGTGTAATGTTAATTTTTGTTAACATGCTAACACTTTGTGTCCGTGTAAATTTTTGTTAACGCACCAATACTTTGTGTCAAATTTTTGTTAACATGCCAATACTTTGTGTCAGTGTAAATTTTTGTTAACCTACCAACACTTTGTGTCAGTTTGAATTATCAAAATACTAGTGCATACCTTTGGTGTACAAATAGTGTACAAATTTTGGGATATATAAATATGCTCCTTGTGATTAAGACAACATATCTCAGAACAGAAAAAAACATGGGATTATCTTTCAAACCCCTTTTATGCTAATTGCTGATTTTGAGAACCAGGGAAGGCAATTATTGACCCCTCCACTATCTTTATCACTTTGTAATAAAGATACGTGTCATTTCAAACTTAATAGCGAAGTAATTATTGTTAATCAAAACTTAATAGCAAAGTAGTCCATAATTTTTGGGTATTAATAGCCCGTGCCATTTCATATATTCATTGGTACCCTCCCCACTTCATAGAACCCTGCACAAACAAAGCTTTTCAAACCTAATAGCGCAAGAAAAAACAGAAGAATGCAGCACGTTTCACCTGGTGCCGGTGTCATTCAATTCCCGGTTCAAGGAACTTGCGACCCCTATGCTGCCCAGTAATATTTCTGAGATATTGTTTTACATTGCTTTTCTTGTTTTACTTCTGTCTATATTTCATAGTTGGTTTTAATTCCCAGTACTAGGCATGGTACTAAAAGGTTCATCTAATACAACACAAGAAAATTTATAAAAACATGACGTGATTAGTGAAGCGTAGTGCCCCCGAATAATCTATTACAACACACGTATAGCCACACCCCAAAAGCTAGCTATTAAGGTGGGAGAACCCTTGGCTATATAAACCCATCACCATGTCTCTCATTTAACCGGTGTGGGACAATGAAATCATTCCGTATCATTCGACCCCCCATAAGGCCCAACATCCTTGTTTGTCATAGCTACGTTGGTCACGGCTAATACCATTGATATGTCACAAGGGAGAGTCACATCCCAAAATGATGGTGTAAATTATCGACTGGTATATCGTTTTTGGTCGGGCAAAAATAATAAACTAATCTAAAACATACACCAAAATATAAACACAGAGATTTTGACGTGGGAACCCAAATTGGTAGAAACCACGAGCCTTTTTTGAAGGTACCTTGCCAAGGGGAGATTTTTATTAATATTGGGGTTGTACACAGTACTTAATTTGGGCTTAGAAGCCATTAATGCTGGAGCTAGAAGCTCTTGAAGAAGAAAAAAATATATTTAAGAAATATCTAGAGAGAAATTGTAATGAGCAGGGGAGGAGTGAAATTTTGCCCTCCTTTAAAATTGAGGGGGAGCCCTCTTTTTATAGGAGTAGCTGGAGCATTTACGGAGGAAAATTCTCTTATTCTTCCATTTTATTAAACAAGCCCGATTTGACTGTGCTTTCCAAATAATTGGGAAATGTGGACCGAGCCACGTATTATTTCCCATCAAAAAGTCCTCCACTTTTTTAAGTTGTGAGAATCAACAACTTAAAAAATTAAATAAATCCTCCGAGTGCTATCTTCAGTCTTCGTACTTTGGATTCTTGACCAGTTGATATTATTGCTAGTCCTCCGAGTCTTCATAAATTCTATAATTTCTTGAATCAGAGGTTTTCTTGTAAAAAATAATATGTTCAACTTTTTTTTACTAGCCTATGCCGTACCCAAAAACTTATTATCTTCACCGAGGAGCTCGGTGAAGATTTTGAGAAGCAGGAAAGCAATTATTGGCGGCCCCTCCACTATCTTTATTACTTAATAGCGAAGCAGTCCCCTAGGTATTAATAGCCCGTGCCATTAATGCCAACCATCATCCTTATACGTTCTTTCATTTCTCCCTGAGTGTGGTACGGAGACGTATGCTGTGAGTTTGTGAAAGAGAAAAGCTCCTCGCCGTCGCGCGAGACGTCTTCCCAGTCTACCCAGAGGAGGAGTCTCGAGATCAGGAGGATCAAGTTCCTTCCCGAAGTAACACCTTCGGACACTGTGACCCAACGGAAACGTCCTCGATTCGAGACGTGTTCCTACGGATCTATTTCGAGGCTCTGTCATAACGCCGTCGAGAATTTTGGCGGATCCATTGCTGAGGAATCGGGGTTGACTGGACAAGCTGGATTGATTATGAGCCCGTTAATGTCCGATTTGCTTCCCAAATTCGGCGTTTGCAGACGGGGGTGGGATATGGAGGACGCAATTGTGGTATAATTCCCGGTTCAAGTTACTTATGACCTCTACGCTACCGGGCAAAAACGATAAACTAGTCTAAAAAATACACCAAAATATAAACACAGAGACTTTGACGTGGGAACCAAATCGAGAGGAAGCCACGGGCCTTTTTTGGAGGTACCTTGCTAACGGGGGATTTTTATTAATATCGGGGTTGTACACGGTACATAATTTAAGCTTGGAAGCCATTAATGGTGGAGCTAGGAGCTCTTGAAGAAGAAGAAAAATATATTCTAGAAATATCAAGAAAGAGAAATTGCAATGAGCAGGGGAGGAGTGAAATTTTACCCTCCTTTAACATTGAGGGGGAAACCTCCTTTTATAGCAGTAGCTGAAGCATTTATGGAGGAAAATTCTCTTATTCTTCCATTTTATTAAACAGGACTGGTTTGACTGTTCTTCTCAAATAATTGGAAAATATGGGCCGAGCCACGTATTATTTCCCATCAAGAAGTCCTCCACTTTTTTAAGTTGTGAGAATATCAACTTAAAAAAGTAAATAAGTCCTCCGAGTGCTATCTTCAGTCTTCGTACTTTGGATTCTTGACCGGTTGATATTATTGCTAGTCCTCTGAGTCTTCATTAATTCTCTAATTTCTTGAATCACAGGTTTTTCCTGCAAAAAATAGTATGTTCAACATTAATAGCCCGTGCCATTAATGCCTACCATCATCCTTCTACGTTCTTTCATTTCTCCCTGGTGTGGTATGGAGACGTCTGCTGTGAGTTTGTGAAAGAGAGAAGCCCCTCGCCATCGGGCGAGAAGTCTTTCTAGTCCGCCCTGAGGAGGAGGCTGGAGATTAGGAGGATCGGGTTCCTTCCCAAAGTAACACCTTCGGACACTGTGACCCGATGGAAACATCCTCGATTCGAGACGTGTTCCTCTGGATATATTTCGAGGCTCTGCCATAACGCCGTCGAGAATTACGGCGGATTCGTTGTTGAGGAATCAAGGTTGAATAGACAAGATGGATTGATTTTGAACCCGTTAACGTCCGATTTGCTTCTCAAATTCAGCGTCTGCAGACGGGGGAGGGATATGGAGGACGCGATTGCGGTTCAATTCCCGGTTCAAGGAACTTGCGACCTCTACGCTGCCCGGTAATATTTCTGGGATATTGTTTTAGATTGCTTTCTTGTTTTACTTCTGTCTATATTTCATAGTTGGTACTAAAAAGGTTCATCTAATACAACACAAGAAAATTTATAAAAACATGACGTGATTAGTGGAGCGTAGTGCCACCGAATAATCTAATACAACACAAGTATATCCACACCCAAAAGCTAGTTATTAAAGTGGGAAAACCTTCTACCATATAAACTCATCACCATCTCTCTCATTTAACCCCGTGGCCCAACGTCCCTCATGACTACCTTGGTCACGGCTAGTGTCTGTAGGCCAAGACTCCGGGTTGGCCATTGATATGTCACAAGGAGTCGGCGTTCGAATTTGGCTTCGAGTGGGATGAAGATTTTGGGGTTCCGGGAGCGTTCGTCATCAAGAACAATCATCCCAACGAGTTCTTCCTCAAAACCATTACCCTTCATGACCTTCCCAATCATGGCGATGTCCACTTTGTATGCCACTCTTGGGTTTATCCGGCTTCCAAATACAACTACGACCGCGTCTTCTTCGCAAACCAGGTACGAATTTCATCTTCATGTCTATCTGTTTGGTTGAAATTAGGGTTCCTCTCTAACTCTATAAAACTGCTCCTTACATATTAATTAGGTTTTCTTATTTGGGATGAACTTTTTTGGTGTGATAATATCATGACTCAGGGAATTCTTCCGCAGTGATGGTGAGGGGCTCTTTAAATTCCCAACCCCACAGGTTATCCAAGGGATTTGTACAATTTTTTTTATATAGTTGTGTTACTTATGTTTTCCCATCATTTATAATTCCGAAATTGTGTATGCTGCAAAATAGAGGATAAAACTGAATGGAGAACCGATGATGAATTTGGAAGAGAAATGCTGGCTGGAGTGAACCCTGTCATCATTAGTCGCCTCCAAGTACCTCAACTTTATTGGACTATTTAAACTTCTTAACAGATAATGAAAATTACATGCTGGCGTGTGAATCCTCAGTTAAATTATTAAAGATGAATTCTCTATTGTTTAATTTTTTATTACAGGAGTTCCCACCAAAAAGTAAAATCACAAAACAGAATATCCTAGGCAGATTAGATGGTCTTTAGGTAACTTCATTTTGTTTGTTGGTTGCACTTAATTTGTAAAACCCCAATATTCTAAAAGCAAAGTGTACACACCAGCTGAACAAGGTGTTGAAAATGGTGTGTGGCAATTAGCTAAAGCTTATGTTGCTGTGAATGATTCAGGGGTTCATCAGTTGGTCAGCCACTGGTATGTATATTTCCGTTTATAAAATCAAATAGAAATAAAATTTTGTTGTTGGATATATTACTTATTCCTTAAATTTTTATTTTGAATCTCCATCATAGGTTGAACACACATGCTGTGATTGAGCCATTCGTTATTGCAACAAATAGGCAATTGAGCGCACTTCACCCAATATATAAGCTTCTGCATCCCCATTTTCGTGACACCATGACTATCAATGCTTTGGCTCGCCAGATATTGATCAATGCTGGTTGAATTCTTGAGAAGACAGTTTTCCCTGACAGCTATGCCATGGAAATGTCTGCTGTAGTTTACAAGGATTGCGTTTTCACTGACCAGGCACTCCCAACTGATCTTGTAAAGAGGTATGCCATGATCCCCACATAAATCAATGTCTTGGCTTACTGCCTCCAAAACATTCAAATCACAAACTCAGTGGAGTTTTTCTCAGTTACAATGATATGTCATTATGATGCCACTAGTTGATCTTGTACACGTCATTAACTTTACTTTTTGTTAAAATTTTGCCAACTTCAGTGTCATAATATATCAATGCATGTGATTTAACAGTTTCTCTATATGTTGTTTTAGAGGTGTGGCTGTAGAAGACCCGAATTCCCCACATGGTGTTCGCCTACTAATTGAGGACTACCCGTATGCTGTTGATGGGCTAGTAATATGGTCATCTATCAAAACATGGGTAGATGAATACTGCAAGTTATATTACAAATAAGATGGCATGGTACTGAAAGATACTGAACTTCAGGCTTGGTGGAAGGAACTCCGAGAGCAAGGACATGGTGATTTAAAAGATAAGCCATGGTGGCCTAAAATGCAGACAGTCCAGGAGCTGATTGACTCATGTACCATTATCATCTGGATAGCATCTGCTCTTCATGCAGCTGTGAACTTTGGTCAATATCCCTATGCTGGTTATCTCCCAAACCGCCCAACTCTGTGCCGCAGATTCATGCCGGAGCCTGGAACTACCGAGTACAAGGAGCTTGAGACTGATCCAAAAAATGTTTTCCTAAGAACAATCACTGCTCAGCTCCAGACACTGCTAGGTGTTTCCCTTATTGAGATTTTGTCAAGGCATCCTTCGGATGAGGGCAAAGAGAGTCCCCTGAGTGGACAAAAGACCAGGAAGCTCGTGACGCATTTGCACGATTTGGAAAGAAGCTTGGGGATATTGAGGATGGCATAATGAAAATGAACACAGATGTAAAACTGAAGAACAGGACAGGGCCTGTGAAGGTACCGTACACGTTGCTCTTCCCTACAAGCGAAGCCGATCTAACTAGCAAAGGCATTCCAAACAGTGTCTCAATCTAGAGCTTCAGAACCTGTAATATTTTTCTGGTTGGTGTGTTTCTTGGTTCCATTTGAATAAATTTATCTCCTCAAAGTAGTGCAGGGTGTATGTTTACATGTTAATGATCTGTTTAAATAAACTCCTTCCTCTGCATTTGGATTGTAATGCTTTACCACTGGCAAAAAAGTAAAGATATCAGAAACTGATTTTTCAAAACTTAGTTGCAGATATATCTAACAACAGCTGTCTCTAATATTGCAGATATCTCAAACAATTATTTTATTTTGAATTGAATTGCCACTGATTTTCGGGTGTTCTCTGATTTCATAGCTGCTTTGACTATCCTCTCTGAAGAACCCATCAGGATTTAGGGCTCTCACAGGTCCCTCATGGTTGACTTTGGGAGACTCATCTGATTTCAGAATGGAATTTTGTTGGGGATCAGCATATCTGGGCGGCTTTGTTCCCTTTTCTAGGTGGGTTTGCTTTGTTTCCTTCTTTTTTGTATATCGGATTTGTCTTTTTCTCCATTTCTTCTATTTATGTAACTTCCTGTGTGTCAAGGGGAACCCATCCATCCCTAAGGTGACTGGATGTCTTAGGACTCGCAATCAGGCCTGGAGCCCCTGTAGGGGAGCCAATGGTTATCCCCCCCCCCCTCCGAATATGTTAGTGATGACTGGACCTTAGCCAATGGGTATCCCTCGCGGTTATTTCGTTGGATGTATGGTTTTATATGGTTGTAGGCATAGTTTTCAGAACCGGACCGGTCTCGGTACTAGTTCACTGGTTTACTGGTCGAACCGGTGGTTCAAGTGGTCAAACCGGTTGTTTAAACATTTTTTAAAACTATATATATATATATATATATATATATATATATGCATGCATACATACATACATACATACATACATTTGTTCATTGAGTACCTTTATCTGGGCTTTCATACAAGACAGGTTAATGGTTTTACAGGCCATCTTAGGGAATTTGTTCTAGTTTGCCTTTTGTTCACCACAGGGCATTTGGTATGCGTATTAGCCTCTCGAGGCCCTGGGCAGTAGCACGATTCAATCTGCAGATCGACCTTGTGAATTCTATTTCATTCAATACTAAATGTACTGCGCGCGCACGTTAAGGTCCAATCATGGGAAGTATGAATGAAGCTTTCCCTTAATTGTTGCATTTTTGAATATCTCACAAAGGCTATGGATAAATGGCATGACTAGAGAACCCCACGTCCCCACCCCTGTCCGGTCTCCTCTGTTTTTATTGTAGTTTTATTGTTGTTTTGGCTCTCTTAGTTCCTTGGTGCAGTGAGTTTCAGGCCTTGTAGGGGTCCGGCCAACCCCCCACCTTTTGTACTTTCTTTGTTCCCTCTTTCTATTTCAATGAAATATTCCTTTAAACAAATTCACAATACATAACATATTTTAGTCATTACAAAACACATTAAAGTATAAGTTCACAAGACATCATAATTTAGTCATTACAAAACATATTAAAGCATAAATAAGTTCAAAATACATAACATAAAATCCAGAAGTCACTGACCAGCGGCGTAAGTTTCTCCCTTTGTTGGCGAGAAGCTTATTTGGAGAGAATACTTCACCTGATGTCGCGCCCTTTGTCGGCGAGTAATTGGCCAACCAGTTGAGTAAAGCTTCTTCAAGGGCTGCTGTCTATTGTCGATGAATATGACAACCGCGTAACATAGAGGAGCGATGAAGATTTAGGGCCAGATAATACTTTTTATAATTTGAGTCAGTTCCAAAACTTTTAAAATTTATAAAATGAACCCCATTTTTTTAAAAGATGTGTCCCTGCCGTTTCCCAAAAGAGACACGTGTGTCCCAGCCGTTTCCTTGGCATTTTTTTCTCTTTTTTAAAAATTAAAATTATAGAAACGCCATGTGGAGTTTCCGAGACGTCTCCAGGCGTGTCCGTGGCGTGTCGGCGTGTCCAAGGTGTCCGAAACGGGTACGGCAGCCTATATGGAGTTTCCGTGCAACATAGGTCGTCATTCATCATCTTTCTCCACATTAAAACCACGGCTACGGTACATCCAAATTTCAACATCAATTTCTTTATTTTCTTTAATTTCGTAATCAAGGTTTCAAATCTATCATCTTCCAATTTATACTCTTATATATCTTCATATTAATTTCATATTTATTTTTATCAATTTTGTTGTTTCTTCTCAAAAACAAGTTTGGATTTTGTTTAGATCCATTTTTATAAGTAAACCCTAATCAATCCAATTTATTTTGATTTCTTAACATGTTTTGTTTTTGTTTTACTACACTGATTTTTTTTAATTTTGTATATATAGGATATATTTGTGGAACTCTATTAACGGGTGATGTTAAATTGGACAGATCTGTTCAACCAAATGCTCATCATCTTCCTCGCCGCTGACCCAGGGTATATCTGAATTTCAACATAAATTTCTTCATTTATCTTTCATACTTAGGGTTTCAAATATATCTTCTTATCATTTATGTATATCACCTTATCAATTTCATATTTATTTCATCAATTTTGTAGACTTATCACCAAAAATAAGTTTGAGTTTTGTTTAGTGTTGATATTAATTCATCATTTTTCATTTGGCTTGAAATTAAGAGAGTAAAGCCTTAAACTACCTCATTAAGCCTTTAAAAAATACTTCAGTAACTTCATTTGTCATTAGGCCTTGCCATTTTTCTTTGTCCAAGTTACATTGTCTTTTTAGTTGCATATACCCATTTAGTGGTTGTTTGTTTCAGTCTCTTAATGGTTCAGATGTCTGAATGGTTCAACACTTAATGGTTCAGACTGTTTGTTTCAGCCTCTTAATGGTTCAGATGTCTGAATGGCTCAGACATTTGCCTCTGAATGGTTAAGTATTATACATAGTTTGAATGGTTAAGACCACTTATCTGAATTGATCAGACATTTGCCTCTCAATTGTTAAGCAATATACTAATGGTTCAGACCTCTTACTGGTTCAGCACTTACCTATTCAGAAGTTGCCAAATAGCCCCTTACTACTATTTATTTCCTAATCACTCATTGTTGATACCATGTTACTTTTTTTAGGGTGTGAAATTACTAATTAATTTTGAATAATAATAATAATATAAAAAGAAAAAAAAGAAAATTATGGGAGAGAGTGGGGTGGGGGCTGGATTGGAGGAAGAAGAAAAGTAAAAAAGGAAGAAAAGGAAAAAGGAAAAAGAAGAAGAAGATGAAGGCAGGGGCGAATATGAAGAGGGGATGATGATGGTGGTGGTGATGACGACGACGGAAGTAGTTGGAGATAACGGAGCAATGGATGGAAAGTCACCCCTCAATTAGTTTTTCGTAGGGTACCTCATAGTATATTTTAAAAATTAGAGGTACCCAGCAGTCATTATTTAGAAATAAATGGTACTTAGCAGTTTTTTTGTTATTTAAGTACTCCCTCCGTCCTAAAAATTTCTTCTCAGTTTGACTTTTCCCCATTTTTAATTTTTTGGCTTTGACTTCAAATTTTACCCTTCTTAAAAAAGATTTTTTGATTTTTTTTGCAATCATTCAAAATATAGAGTTAGAAGATAATTGGTGTAAATACATTAGGGTATTAATGTCATTTGTCATCTTTTTTTCTAATGGGAAGGTAGTTTTAGGACGGAGAAAAAGGGGAAGTGGGAAGAAAGTTTTAGGACGGAGGGAGTATGATTTATAAATAGAAATGGGTTTCGAAATCCAAAATTTGAGTGTGATATCAACCTTTTATTTATTTGTAAGTAAATCCAAAATTAGCATAATGCAATTCATAAACAGATATGGGTATCAATTTAAGTTTACATAATGCAATTCATAAACAGAAATGGGTTTAATAATATTTGTAAGGTACAATTGGCATGAATCATAAATCATACTTAACATTTTTAAAATTTATTTGTCAGTTTACATATATTTATACCAAAATCTAAGGGATCCAGTTGCCATTTTTTTTTCAATCCGCCATTTTTTTGGATGTTGAAATTTGGATGTACCGTAGCCGTGGTTTTAATGTGGAGAGAGATGATGAATGACGATTGACGACGGACCTCTACTGCGCAAAGGATGAGATTCTGATGCGCATTTATGTGAGACAGTGAGAGTGAGAGAGGGCGATGAGATGGTGGCGTGCAGTTACTCAGTAATTGGTTTAGATTTTACTGTATGTAGTTTTCAATCAGTTGGGAAGGAGTTCTAAAAAATATTGAGGCCCAAAAATATTATTGGCCCATTCGTACTATAATTGGCCCAGTGTTTTAGGCGGGAATTTTTTCCTGCTGTCTTTGTAAATAGGTAGATTTATACCAAAATCTAAGGGATCCTTTTGTCTTAAAACCATTGCTGTATATGAATTGCATTATGGATCTATGAACTTATGAATTGCATTATGGAAGAATATGGATTATTCTTTCAATCTTTTATTTATTTGTAAGTCAATCCAAAATTAGCTAATTATTATTGATTTTAACTTTGGATCGACCTTTTCATAAAATAAGATCATTGGCCTACACAAGAGGACTCTTGATTTCTTCTATCTTCCATGTCACTGCCTTCTGCAAAAATAGAAATATCTGGTGCATTGTTATTGATCATTGACTGTATTGTGTGCAAATTAGGAGGAGCGGCGGAATGATAACATGAATAACAGTGAGAAGCAAAAGGGATGTGGCGATAGCTTCTTCTTCTTTAAAGTTGGAGTAGGTGGGGGCGCATTTTGGACGATTATATGGCTAAAGTAAGTTAAAATTAATAACATTCCCAACATGATGTTTAGATTTTGTAATTTACATTGGAGAGAAGAATTTGATGTGACTTTTTTTAATTCCTATAAGCAATTTGAAACTAGCTCTTAGAAAGTTTTTCCGTGCAAAAAACTGTAGAACTCCAAAATCTTTTAGATTAGATGGCTTATGGAGTCCATGCTTCAAGATACATTTTTTGTTCAGATCCAATGAGATTAAAGAGGAGACAACGAAAGCAACTTATGAGGAGAAAATTTGGAATGGATAACATGAACAACAAGAGAGCACTGGATTTGATTAATCAGATTTAAGGAACTCATCCATGTTCATTTGTCCTCTATAAAAGAGGACAGCAGGGGTATTTCTCTAATCCTAAATCTTATTACTTCAACTATGAAATACATCACCAACAATGTTCACTCTATACCAGCACAAAGACCCATCACAAGGTTAGTGAAAAAGAATTTATAAATTCTAACTATTTTTTCAATTCCTTTTTAGTTGCTAATTTAAGATTATTGAGATCCCCCCTCCCTTCTTAATTGAAGAAAGTTGGCTGCCATTTTTCTCAATAAGCTCTCCTAACAATATGGAGAAATAAAATCAAAGTAGATAGTTTTAATACGACAAGAAGATATGAACGTTATCTGGGGGTTATTGAAGTGGTGTTTGACTGTCTTTTATGCTCGATTTGTAATTGTCACCATCTCAAGTCTATAAGTAGATGACTTTCCATTACTGAAGTGATGTTTGACTATATTTATACTCATTATAAGATTATTTTAATTTATACCATATTTTAGTATAATTACAATCACACTAATGAGGTTTGCAGATGATCAAAGGCCATAGTTTCTGCTAAAGTCCCGATGGAGCATGAGAAAACATACAAGAATCTTTAATATAATGAGCAACAGATCATTTTTTTTTCTATTTGGATTGCTAAGACCCAAAGCAATTTCTTTTTATTCCTTGCTAGATTCTTTTTTGGATTAGAAGTTGATTTAATAAAGTTACTACATCCACTAACTTTGATGGAGGGAGTACTACGTATATGTTATCATGTTGGTTCAAAAGCATTTTCTGAGAAACACTTTGCAGTGAACAACTAATGTAATATTAAAAGTGAGGTATATGAAGTTTTAAAGAAATGAATGATACAATGATGGTGGAGTATTTTAGTTGGTTAGAGTAAAAATGCAGCTGAGACATACAGTGTATGCATTAAGCCTGTTTTTCATCACGCATGGTCTGGGTAGCATATTTAAGTCTGTGGAAACTTATTAGTTTTATTCTGCTCTTAGTGTATTTTTTATAGATTAGTACGTGGCATCTGTTTTAAAAGACTTGATAAGTGTGAAACTATGCATTGCTCACCCAAAAAAATGCTCATCATTTCCATTATCACCCAAAAAAATGCTCATCATTTGGCACAAAAACCTTTTGTAACGGGGTATCTGTGCAAAGTTGACAAGGAGCGATGGTGGCAAAAATCTAGCAAAAACGATGGAGAAGGAAGATATAAGGAGAAGGTTGCAACGGCGTTACAAATTGAGGTTGCGGGTCGGGTCGCGTAGATCGAGAAAGAAAGCTGCGGTAGATGGGAGAAGAGGCGTGGGGATGAAAACCTAAACGAGTCGGGTCGTGCAGGAGAATCACGCGAATGGTATGAGTTTTATTTTATTTGAGAATGAGCATTAAGTTATTTGATAATGAGTTTAATTCAGAATAAACACTACTTTATTTGTAGATGAATATTATAATTATATTGAATAAATGTGTGAAAATGAGTACTACATTATTTCAGAATAAGTACTACGTTATTTTAGAATGAATACCACGTTATTTGAAAATCATATATATATATGTGTATATATATATATATATATATATATATATATATATATATATATATATATATATATATATATATATATATAAAGTAGGGTTAATTAGCTTTGGGGTTGACACCTGTCTTCCAACGTGGCACTTGATGTGGATGATAACTCTTCCTAGATTATCTTTCTCTAGGGTTACGACTTACCAGTTTACCACTGGAAAAAAAACGATTGAGTTTTCTTTCTCGCGCAATCCATACCCATTTTCAGGTGAAGGAACTGCAGCGACTAGGGGAGATCGAGTCTTGCGTAGTTGAGGAATGAACAAATTATAATTTGAACCAGATTCGAAAATTAGGCCAATGAACTGCCGCAACTATCAGAGTTAGAGGAGCAGTGAAGGAAGCTCCAAGGTCGTACAAACGCTGAACCAGTTTCTTCTCTAATTCTGATGTTCAAATTTTCAATCCATGATGTTCAACTTTCATCGTAAGTACCACCTATTTAGGCCCAAGTCATTTGATTTATATCTACAAAGCTCATATAGTTAATTGTAGACTTTAAGGAGAAGTTTCATGGATAGCCAGTTGCTCCCAAAGCTGGAACCGTGAAGCATACCAAGTGTTTGTTGATATCCCCCGCCCAGAAAAACAACTTCTTCTAATCATTCTTTAGGCGACATTTTCATCAATTGGAGGGAGTGAATTGATAAATATTAGTGTGAATCAGAAAAAAGATGAAGAAAAAAAGAAAAATGATGAAGATGAAATTTCAGATTCTAAATCTAAGACCCAAAAAGGTTTGTTTGTTTGTTTTTTTTTGTTTATTTGGAACGTACGATGTGAATGATTTGTTTATGTTGAATATTTTATGGTTTTGTGTCTATGGTGCATATGAGACTATGAGAGTGAAGAAAGAGGTGGTATAGAGGCTGAGGATGATTTCAAAGATTCAAAATCAAGAAACGTCATTAATAAAATACAAATGGTCTGTTCATGTGTATAAATTTATTGTACATTTATTCTGATTTTATGGTTTGCAATTTAATGTGAAGACTACGGAGAGGGAAGAGGGTATAGATAGTAGGTTACAATAAAGAAAAGGAGGAAGAAGGTTTATGATTTGACTAGCCAGAAGAGAGACCCTGGAGGAAGTATTGTTTTCCCAAGTAGTCAAATGTGAAATAGTGGTGTTTTGCAGGTATTCTTTGGTGTGAAGCCGGATGAAAAGATCAAGTTTGTGTGTGGCATTCAAAAGGCTCAACATGTTATATTTGCTAATTGGGTGTGTGTTTCCTTAGCATCCTCACATTTTGGAGTTGCTATTGGAGTGGAAGCATCCGGACGATTGGAGTGGACGACCATACTACATCTATTTTCAATCTTCTTCTCCGTGCAGGTTAGGGACTGAATTTTTCGGTTTCAATTGCTAATTTTTTCTCCAATGGAAACACATTCATGACTCATCAAGAGTACAGAGTCCTTCGCTAGCCTCGACTCACTCAGGTCAGTTTTATTATTTTTAATTAATTTTTTTAAATTATGATTCCGTTTCTCTTTGTTGTTGTCCTCATGAATCCCTTGGTGCTATTTGTGTCTTGATTATCCAAAATATAATAATAAAGTAATCTAATTAAAAGTTTTTGAGCAAATCCATCCAATGAGAATCTGCAAACTCCAGCGGCTGTGATCCAATTTGGGATATGAAATTCAAGACCGGCAGGAGAAACCCGATGCAGAAACGGGTTTAGGGTTTGATAAGGCAGGATTGAAAGTGCAATCAAGGAAAGTGGTCATAATCGTAAAGCAATCAAAAAAAGGAAATTGCACAAATGGGAAGTCAGTAATCAAATGGTATTTAACTATACATTGAACCATGAAATTCTATAATTTATATAACTAGAGCTGATCAGTTGAACATTTTAGAGGTTTCATGTTCAACGAGAATTACACAAATATCTGTTCTTCTTCGTCCTTTATCAATTCAAACTTGGGCATCAATGGATTGATCCACAAAGCAGGACGGGAGACCAAGCTGGACTTTTCCACTCCCACCAGGGTGATTATCGAAGCTTACGTCGGTTGGAAAAATATATTTCCCTGCAAGATTTATTTAGGCATTCCTGGATTGTTTTGCCGAGTAGGCCAAAAGTTATAAGGGGCTGGTGACATCTAAGCTGTGTTATTTTTTGGGATATTCCACAAAAATAAGTGTCCAAATTAAACCATGATGGAGGGAGTGTATCCGATATATGCTTATAAATAATTGATTAAAAAATCCAAAAGATGGTGAGCCTATAATAGCAATGTCTCTTTCCTCTATCTCTAATTCTATTATTTGTTTGATGCCAAAACTATGTAAAAGGTGTGATGAATTTTTGGTCTGATGCCAAAAATATGAGGTTTGAGATTATTAATTTTATGGCAATAATCATTTACATTTACTTGGGCCATGTTTTATCCCCCCCTCCCACTAAACCCTTGCCTCACTATGAATCATGTATATAATTTTCTAATACACCTTCTGTAACACCCTAATCCGTCCAGGTCTGCAGCCCCATTCGGACTAAAGTATTATCTTGGTAATCGTAAAATTTAAAACTTTTCAAACACACTTTATTAATCTCAATAATATTTTTCATAACATATACAGTACGAAGTATTTAACAATATTGCGGAAGCGAATTTAATATTGACATATCATAAATTATTTCAAAACTTGTTACATCCATCCTGACAATCTCGCCCCATCTGCCGCCAGGATCACATTAATCTTTCTATTTACCTGCGTGTAGCAAATAAAACACACTACACGCTCAGCGGTGAAGCTGAGTAAGCATATCTAAAACGTCGAACATCCACATAAATTGAATCTCAATTCATAATCAACCATTTGACATCATGCACTCAATATATGGTTCAAACATTCATAATATTTTCAATATTTTATTCCAAGTCATTTGATATTCAATATATCAATAATGCTCTTAAATTATTCTTAATCTAAGGCCACATCATTTTATATTCAGCTCTTAGCTATTCCTAGTCTAAGGCAACATTCATAACCAGGCCCTTAAACTATAAATAGTTTAATGCAGAACACAAGAATCGATAATCCACCCTCTGAGTCGTGTGGATTACGTACCAACCGAACAATGATTTGTCGGGTGGGTGATATCCGTTCTGGATCCCGTACGTACGTTTTAACCCCGAAATATGAATTGGTCAAGGAGGTATATCTTAGAGTTCTTCTAGATATCCTTAATAATCATCATCATTATACAAGTGGGTATATCTTTAGAGTTCTTCTAGATATCCTTAACAACATTATTCATCAATTCATATTCTTAGTTCAACAATCATTTAATAATCCATAATATTCA